GCGTCCTAACATCGCAGGCCTTCAGGTTACTTAGTTACTAAACACGTGTTCAGTCGTGAGCTATTTTCTTCAATAACTTAATTCCAGTTTCTAAAGGAAAGCCTGGCGTTTAGCAATTGGCCAAGCACACAATTTGAAACTTTGATATAGACATACAGACCTGTTTATATCCGTCTCTACTTACTGGGTTTATGTTGGGGGGGGGGCAGAACGAACTGGTAGCAACTGAGGCCATTTCAGTATCAGTGCCAGGGATTCACAGGTATTACTGAGAAGAACCTTTATTTCTACACCTGATCTTGAGATCATTAAACTTAAAATTATTTTCATTGAGGGAATGGGGCCCTCTGCAATCAATGCCCCAGTGCAGCAACATTTTCAACTCAATAGCAGCTGACGATTTAATTCCTACTGCACTTCAACTCCTCTTTGTGTGGCCTTTTTAGCCTAGATCCCTCAGATGGCAAGCTGAGACCCAGAGGGGACCAACAGGGCTTGTAGCTCTAAGAAGTGTAGTGTGGGGGAGGGTTCAGCAGTGAGTAAGGGATCCTGCTAGTCCTGCAGCTGCAAGAGGTTTTTAAAGATCTCTCTTAAAACAGAAACTCGAGGCTGCAGGGCCCTCAACAGTCTATTGTGCTCAGAAGGTAAGTAGTGTCGACATTATAGTCTCACCTTGTGGACCAGACGACTAGTTCCATTTGAGGACTTCAAGGTGTTTTTTCCCAGAGATGGGGCAGGCCAGTGGCAGACTGGTACACACAACCCTGGAACTGCCACTTCTTTATCTAAAGGGCTGTCTTGGAATTGGTAGAGTTTAAACTAGGACACCTATAAATTACCTCTTCATTTTCAGAGGTAAAAACGCCAGTCCCCAGCCTGGTGACTTTGCTATGGGTGGGCTAAGTTCAGCCCTAAACCCAAGCATGCCAGCCTTTCTGTCACACAAAATTCCTTCTCATCCAAAGACCAGAACCACTGAAAAGATTCCCACTCCCCACAGGTACAGAGCAGAGGAAGACGAGTGGACGCAGGGTAGACAGCCCGGGCAAAGTTTTGGGATGGGGAGAGGAGAGAAGGGTAAGACTGGTGCTATTGGGCTGGGGATGCAAGGGCTGGTCATTTAGCACAGTGGTTCTCAGCCTTCCTGATGCTGCAACCCTTTAATATAGTTCCTGTGGGTCACGACCCACAGGTTGAGAACCGCTGAACAGGTATTGAGCTATTTGGTTGCTTGTGGACTGGAGTGTGCTCTGGGGAAAGGGTGGTGAGGAACACCCCACTGTGAGGCTGGGAACAACAGTAATTAATGATTATAATTGTGATTGCAAAAAGTTGCTGCTGCCCCCAAGTAGGGGAATTGAATGGCTACCCCAGGACAGCCAGCAGGCCCCTCTGCTCCAGCCCTGCTGAAACTGGCAGAGTCTGCCCAGCCTCTGGCTAGTGAGTGCTGTGCCAAAGGGTCATGGCTAGAACTGGGGAGCACTACGGAACGGGGTTCCCAAATCACAGGCAGCCAGTACAGTCACCTCCTCCCTCATGAAGAGCTGAAAGTGAAAAACAATAGTCTTGGTCTCCGACAATCCCAGTATTGTCCTAGAACTGTTGTATTTAAAAACTGGAGCAAGAGGCTCGGAGCCTGTGGCTCAAGCGGCTAAGGCGCCAGCCACATACACCTAAGGTGGCGGGTTCGAATCCCCAGCCCGGGCCCGCCAAACAACA